AATCAAGCTCTCTCTTTTGGTTAGATTTCAACACAGAGATATTCTGTTGCACTGAGTGAACATTTTGTAGCTACAAATTGAGATACCAGGGAGGAAAGCTCCAGGATATGACTACTGTCTCCATCTTTTACAGAAGAGAGAAAGGAAGAGGGAGAGTGTAGATCTGAAAAGGATATAGAGAGAATAAACAGACAACTGAAGTGTGGTGCTGTAATTCCACTCAAGGATTCTGGCAATATCACACATGGAAGTGACCCTTGAAACATTAGATCCCCTTGATTAAAATTTATGACTTAAATGAGACCCATCTGTAATTTTATATAATCAAAGATCTGAGTTCTAGCTGTAGTCCCTGTGCAAGTTCCTGTCCTCTCTGTGATGTCATTCCTCTTTCCCCCTTCTCACCATGACTTCTTCATCTGACCCTGATCCTCCACTCACCTTGTGCCTGATCTGTTTTCACCTTTTACTGTCTCCTTCACTTGCTGAGCATCTCTCATCTACCCCCTTATTACAACCTTGCTCTATGGTGCCAGCAGTTCTACACTGATTAACACTAAACACACTCAGGAGGCACTGATAAAGCAAATCTCAAAATTCACAAATTGCAACATTTATTTACATGAGCTGCAGTGGATTTATGTGGCAGATTTTCAAAAGTGCTCAGCATGCACAATTGGGGGCAGATTTTCAGAAGACCTCAGAACTCAATATGCTGAACTCTTTTGGAAACTTGGCTACTTATTTTGGAGGACAGATGTCAGCTGAGCTCCAGTTGTGGGTTCTGGGCATTTGAACATGTGCTCTTTTGAAAATCTGGCTTTGTGCACCCCTGCTCAAAACAGTAAGGGAGAAGAATGTACACTGAGATGTCACAAACAGGATGGGCTTCATTAGGCTGCTAAATATCGCTAATGATGGGGGTAGCAGTGGACTTGATGCAAAATGCTGCTTAATTCTAAATCTCTATCCACCAAGAGAATGAATCAAATTTAGTCTGTTCCATTCACTGTCTTTAAACTAACAAAGTCTCAGTAGCTTTTAAGGTGCTGTCAATGAATATTTGGGTCTGAGAACAGCAAATAAAATCTCTTAAATCTTGATTTCCTGCATAAAGGTTACATTTCTGACTCTGGCTAATAACATACCAATTAACTGTACCTCAGGGAAGAACAAAAAAGACAGAGAAAAGGACAAAAAATGTCTGCCAGCAAGAATCTGGTGACTTTACTGAATTCCCTTCTTCTTCCTCAAGCTCTGCTGCAACTGGAGAGGTTACAACCTGGAAGCTGCTAGAATCATTGTCAAAAAATGCAGATAAGATGCAGTCAAGCCGAGATGAAGTATTTCAATACTGAGAAATAAGGCGGAATCACTAGAATTCACATTTACTGAGAGCAAGTTGAAATCTTCATATGTGAAAATGATACACAAGGAGTTTTATAAGACAAAATGTTGACTGAGATCCTTGAGATTTAAAAAAATCTGTTAAAACAAGGTTTTTGCACAAATTGCAGACTAGACATAGAAAATCAAGCCAGTGCTTAAAATCTTAGCACTACTGGCTTCTTGAGATACAAACCCATTAAGGACAGAGTGGAAGTGATGGAACAAAAAACATCTTTTCTGCTGGGTGTTAATGTGGGTGTGTGTTAATGTGGCTTTAAGCCACCTTCGTGCCCTTCCAATTCTGGGCTGCTCCATGGGCTGAAGTGACTCCTGACATAACTTAGACAGTCATGTAGGGGCTGTCTAAGTTATGGCAGCAGCACCACCCACAATCACTTAGTGCTATGTACTGTGGCGCTGCCCTGAAACACCCCTCCTGTCCTCAGCCCAGCCCTGGCATGCCCTTCTTGTCAATGGTTGCGAGGTGGTCCTCAGAAAACAGCCCATAGCTGTTGTCTTCCTCAATTTCTGTGCTGGAGGAATTCTCCTCTGGCTGTATTCAGGGATTTTAGATCCCCTTTATGTTACTGCAGACCTTTTACACAGTGTTAAGAGGCTAAGAATCTCACCCTTAGAATGCTGCTAAGGAAACCCTTATAAAGGACAGACAGAACAAATTACAGCAACCAGCACAATAGCAGCCACTGGTTGTAGAGACAGAGAAAGGCTTCTTCTGGCCACCCAGAAAAAAAGAGCTAACAGAAATTGTTAGTTGCAAAATTCTGCTATTCCTTGACCTGAGCCCTGCTACACAGCAATGGAAAAATGTGCTGAATAGTGTCAAAAGGATTTTGCTGCTCAAGGCATTTCAGTTTTACTCCTGTTTCTAGCAAAACTGAGCTACATACTCAGGAAAAAAATACTTGTTTTGGGAGGCTAATTCAGTGATTCAGTTACTGTCTAAGGTAAAAGGAAGCAAACATACAGCAGACAACCCCATAAATGTCCATCTGGAAGAACACTAGAAACATAATAGTGCACCAGTAGTACTTTTGTTATATTGTCTTATACAATTGATAATGTCTCAAACAAGACCTTACTAACCTTCAATAGTTACAGAATACACTATTTTATATATATGCTCTCTGTACTCTTTGCCTAATCAGGTAGTCCTGAGATACTAGCTGAAGCTGATAAATCTGTGGAATGTAGTTGGCTAAATACAGTACTGAGAATATCTGAAGCTTTATAGAGGGGGTGACAGTCAGTTTTACTATACAAGAACACTTCCCTGAGAACAAAGTATTTCTTTGTTAGTGTAACAAATTCCTTGTAAATACGCCACTCCCTTCCCCCAGTAAATTGAGGATAGACTTTTCCCATTATAGCTACATGCAGTATGTGTCTTTGCCAAAGTACAGCTCTTTCACTGACCGTGGCCAATGAGGAACTAAATGAAATATTAATCCCGTTCTCTGTATGGTGCAGAGGTGTTTTATAGATTCATAGATTCATAGATTCTAGGACTGGAAGGGACCTCGAGAGGTCATCGAGTCCAGTCCCCTGCCCGCATGGCAGGACCAAATACTGTCTAGACCATCCCTGATAGACATTTATCTAACTTACTCTTAAATATCTCCAGAGATGGAGATTCCACAACCTCCCTAGGCAATTTATTCCAGTGTTTAACCACCCTGACAGTTAGGAACTTTTTCCTAATGTCCAACCTAAACCTCCCTTGCTGCAGTTTAAGCCCATTGCTTCTTGTTCTATCCTCAGAGGCTAAGGTGAACAAGTTTTCTCCCTCCTCCTTATGACACCCTTTTAGATACCTGAAAACTGCTATCATGTCCCCTCTCAGTCTTCTCTTTTCCAAACTAAACAAACCCAATTCTTTCAGCCTTCCTTCATAGGTCATGTTCTCAAGACCTTTAATCATTCTTGTTGCTCTTCTCTGGACCCTTTCCAATTTCTCCACATCTTTCTTGAAATGCGGTGCCCAGAACTGGACACAATACTCCAGCTGAGGCCTAACTAGAGCAGAGTAGAGCGGAAGAATGACTTCTCGTGTCTTGCTCACAACACACCTGTTAATATATCCCAGAATCACGTTTGCTTTTTTTGCAACAGCATCACACTGTTGACTCATATTTAGCTTGTGGTCCACTATAACCCCTAGATCCCTTTCTGCCGTACTCCTTCCTAGACAGTCTCTTCCCATTCTGTATGTGTGAAACTGATTTTTTCTTCCTAAGTGGAGCACTTTGCATTTGTCTTTGTTAAACTTCATCCTGTTTAACTCAGACCATTTCTCCAATTTGTCCAGATCATTTTGAATTATGACCCTGTCCTCCAAAGCAGTTGCAATCCCTCCCAGTTTGGTATCATCCGCAAACTTAATAATCGTACTTTCTATACCAATATCTAAGTCGTTAATGAAGATATTGAACAGAGCCGGTCCCAAAACAGACCCCTGCGGAACCCCACTCGTTATGCCTTTCCAGCAGGATTGGGAACCATTAATAACAACTCTCTGAGTACGGATATCCAGCCAGTTATGCACCCACCTTACAGTAGCCCCATCTAAATTGTATTTGCCTAGTTTGTCGATAAGAATATCATGCGAGACCGTATCAAATGCCTTACTAAAGTCTAGGTATACCACATCCACAGCTTCTCCCTTATCCACAAGACTCGTTATCCTATCGAAGAAAGCTATCAGATTGGTTTGACATGATTTGTGCTTTATGCTGCAGCCACTGCCCTCCTGGATGAAAAAAAACTCCACCAGCAACAAAAAATCCTTAAAACTCAGGGAATTCTGCTAGTCTTGCCCTACGGAGCTAAGACTCAGGAGTTTTTAGAGAATGGAGATAATGTAGACGAGAGATAATCTGGTCTTTAATTTTTACAAAATTGTATAAATACCTTCTAAAACTCACCTAATGAAACCATCCCGAAGTATCATAACATAAGACATCATAGCTCATATATCACTACAGTAGTTTTAAAATTTGTTTATTTACTGTGGGAAAGAGAAGTCAAATAAGTGACTTTTGCAAGTTGTTGCATTTTGTTCTGAGGCAGTGAGTGGATAATGGAGTCCAATTGGAACCCCAAACCTGTGAGTAAAACAACAACTGAGGTGAGGAGGATTAGTCTTTATTTTTCAGTGCCACTTAAATTCCACTGACCATTCATATTTAACCCTGCAGGTCAGAAAACAACCAAGTCTTAACATGAATCACAATACATATAAGTGGAAATTTTCAGAGCTTTCTACAAAGAGACTTTTTGGAAATGAAGCAACTGAAATTCACAGAGTTCTTTATCAGTCCAGCTGATTCAGAATTTGGATAGAAGGTGCAGGAATTTGCTGGATTCTTTTTTCTGGATCTAACACTTCTAGTTCTGAGTTTTATGTTTATCCCCACCCATTTTCTCAGCTACTCTCTAGCTATCTGCTGTTTAGTCTACAATGCTGAAGGTCCACTTATGACAGCATAAGATTTTTTAATATACTATTTAATTGAAAAGATGGGTTGGGAGGGGAAAAAAGCAAGTCAGGGAAACGGAGGGAAGATGTTGGAGGAGAGCAGTAATTGGCATACCTTCCCTTTGTTGAAGTAGTGGATAATCTTCCGGCATAGCCCCTCCTTACGTTGCCACTCTGTCTGTGATGGGTAGTGCAGGAACTCTCGCAGAGGTCTGTCCTCCCACTGAAGTAGCTCACAGTACAGAAGCAATGTAAATGCAGCCTCTGTTAGAACAGCAATCAATGAAGACTGAGTAAATTATGACAAATAAATACAATTAATGGGTTTGATTTGCACTTGGATTTGTCAAGCAAATCATGATCTGAAATTTACCTACAGAATAACCCAGTGGGGAACAAAGTGCTTGAAAACCAAGATCCCCTTTCTGAAACATCTGAGAGATGGAAGCTACTTGGTCAGTGGATCAACAACTTCATGTTGCAGCATTACAAAGATGACATGTCCTGGTCATTCAGTGGAAAATGTGTTGGACTCCATTCCTGTCATCTGTCCAGGGAATGGGGAGCTAACATGATGGGTTTTCGCAACTGCTGTCTAACTGTAGCGCCAATTACACTTTCTTGATGAAATGTTCTCTGAAGTGGAAAAAGCACCTTACTAATGTTTGTACTTTCCCCTTCAAAGTCATCTTTCTAACTTCCTCCAAGTTCCCCAGAGTTGTGCAGATGGATATAATTTAAAAATAGATTCTCATCTTTCAACTGAGATATAAATATAGCAACATATCAGACTGCTAATGCTTTTATGATTAATTTCTCCTTAGGTTTTCTCCCTCTCTTATAAACACCTCCTGAATAGGATACATGACTAACATGTGGATTCTGCCAATACCGAATATTAGCAAAGGGCTACCATCCACAAGGCCCCTTCAACAACCTTCTTCCTTGATGTACTGTTTCAAAATCAACATCTTCACTAGGTTTCTAAATTTACAAACTGGTCTGTTTCTTAAATGGCATCAAAGCAAGTTGATTAACAATATGAAACAACAGGGCTTCTAACTCTTCAAACTGCAGTAGCTGATCTTCACAAAAATTCCTAGAAAAGTATTTGATGAATATTCAAAGAGAATGTTGGGAGACTCAACACTTCTGGCCTGCTTTCTAACACCAGACCCTGAAGAAAGCCTCCTTATTCATTACTAACCAGTGTAGTTCTCAGCCTGTAAATGCATGTCACACAGCTTATGGATGTAGCGGATATACATCTCTTCCTTGTTAATTTCAGATTTATAAAAGTTCTGAAAAAGAGTTGAAAATTAATATTCAGAAACAATCTTGAGATACTTTGTCAGTGTAAAATAACCCCCTACTTCCAGGCAGCTAATAGAAACTGCATATAATTCGAAGAAAGTGCATTAATAATATGAAAGATTGGGCCCAATACTGCATTAATTTAAACTGGTGTAAATGAGTAACTCCACTAACTTCAATGAAGTTATGCTGGACTTAACATGAGTGCAAAGGAGAAAAGAATCAGGCCCTTGTATCCATATAAATATGAGTGTGAGAGAGCAAGGTACAAGAGAGTGAATCCCACAAATATGTACTGGTGATTCATTCCCTCTGCACTCTAAAAATACTACTGCCATCTTGAGAATCTACAGAAAAGGAGATGTGAGTGGGGGAGTGTTTGTACAGGAGGAGATTAAAGAGGAGGAAGGGAAAAGGATAAAATGGCTGTAGAAATATTCTTTGCTAAGAGACACACTTGCTCATCTGCTGTGCTCTCTTGCCTCCTGTCTCAATGGAACCATTTTATTACACACTGCTGTAAACTCAAAATGGGAAAAACCCTACATTTTCAGCTGCAGGATGCTGAGGCTATTAACCCTCTCTGCAGATCATCATACCTAAACCTTACCATTCCAGATTAAAATACTGTGTATAGGATCACGATGTACAGGTCAATAAATATAAAAAGAAAGTGTTCTTACCATCAGGTTAACAGTGCAGCCAATCTTCTTGTTTTCTGTTTCATCTCCTTTCATGCAGTCCCTGAAAAGAGAAACACTGTTGAGACATTTAGACTGCAAGAGCGTGTTTCTTAACTAAAGATGAAGCTGTTCTAGAACCAGAATTCTCTCAGATGCAAAAACAACAGTTAAGGCTAAAGTTTATTCTTAAAGCACCCCTCAAAAGAGACTCCATACAGTGCAGATCTAAAGAAGTTATTTAAGAAAGTTAGTCTTCAAATGAGCAAAATTTTAAAGTTAATTTAGTGCTATTAAAAGGTTCTGGATTGAGTGCCTTAGAGACAAGACAGTTACCTTTTCCATAACTGGTGTTCTTCGAGACGTGTTGCTCATGTCTATTCCACAATAGGTGTGCGTGCTCGCCACGTGCACTAGTGCCAGAAGTTTTCCCCCGAGCAGTACCCGTAGGGGGGAGCGCCCCCCGCGACCCTTGGAGTAGGACCTGCCTGGCACGGTATAAGGGGAGCTGTGCGCTCCCCCCCACCCTCAGTTCCTTCTTGCCAGACAACTCCGACAGAGGGGAAGGAGGGTGCGATGTGGAATAGATATGAGCAACACATCTTGAAGAACATCAGTTACGGAAAAGGTAACTGTCTTTTCTTGCTCATGTGTATTCCATAACAAGTGATTCCAAGCTATATCTGTTGGAGATAGGTAGGAGTTCACAAGTTCCCAAGACGGAGGACAGCCCTGCCGAACCTGGCGTCATCCCTGGTCTGGGGAATGATCGCATAGTGCGGGGTGAACGTGTGAACCCGAAGACCACGTGGCGGCCCTACAAATGTCCTGGATGGGGACATGGGCCACGAAGGCAGCCGACAAGGCCTGCACCCGAGTCGAGTGTGACCTCACAATGGGTGGCGGGGGGACACCCGCCAGCTCATAACAGGAACGGATGCACGAAGTGATCCAATTGGAAAGCCGCTGAGTGGAAATCGGCTGGCCCCTCGCGCGCTCAGCCGAGGCGACGAACAGTTGCAAGGACTTTCTGAACGGCTTAGTCCACTCGAGGTAGAAAGCCAGAGCCAGCCGCACATCAAGTGTGTGGAGACAGCGCTCCTCACTGGACGCGTGAGGCTTGGGGCAGAGGACCGGTAGAAAAATATCCTGACCCATGTGGTAGGCGGAGACCACCTTCGGGAGGAACGTGGGGTGTGGGAGGAGCTGGACCGTGTCCTTATGAAAGATCGTGTACGACGGCTCGGAGGTCAGGGCCCTGAGCTCCGAGACTCGCCTGCCCGACGTGATTGCAACCAGGAAGGCCACCTTCCACGAGAGGTGAGATCAGGAGCACTTGGTCAGTGGTTCAAACGGGGGCCCCATGAGGCGAGCCAACACCTGGTTTAGGTCCAACTGTGGGACCGGGGGGTCTAGAATACGGAAAAAGATGGTCCAAACCCTTAAGGAACCAGATAGTCATAGCATGGGAAAATACTGTGTGCCCTTGCACTGGCAGATGGAAGGCCGATATGGCTGCCAGGTGCACCTTGACTGACGAGGGCGCCAGGCCCTGGGCCCTCAGATGGAGGAGGTAATCAAGGATAAGATGGATCGGCGCGGTCACCGGGAGACACCCTGGTCCGCCGCCCAGCTAGAAAACTGGGACCACTTCGCCAAATAAGCGCGGCGAGGGGAGGGCCGTCTACTTTCGAGGAGGACACACTGAACCTGCTCTGAGCACGTCTTTCCTCTCCACCTAACCACTGAGCAGCCACTCTGTGAGGTGAAGAGCCGCTAGGTTGGGATGGAGGAGGTGGCCCTGGTCCTGACAGAGCAGGTGTGGCCAGGCCCGTAAGGGTCCCATACCAATGCTGCCTGGGCCACGCCAGGGCAATCAGGAGGACCCGGGCCCTTGTCCGACGGCTCCTCCATCTCCTCTGCCTGGAGGTGTAAGCTTGCTGCCACCCTCTTTAAGAGTTCTTGGTAGGCCCTAGAGTCCTCCTGCAGGACGGAGGGGGGCGGGGCTGCAATCGACTCCTCCGGGCGGGGCAAAGAAGCCGGTGTGCTGCTCTGGGTGTCGGCCGGCACCGGAGGGTCCACCACCTGGTCGGACTCCGGGCACGGTGCCAAGGACATACGTCCCATTTACTCCTTTCTTGGGGGTCTGGAGAGGTAGGCCGACGGTGCTTCCGAATCTCCGGCCACTGAATGAGCTCCCACGGGGGCTGTGCCGGAGGCCATGGTGCCCACTGGTACCATTCGGCTGGCCACAATGCTCGGTGCCACTGCACCTGCTGTGGCACTGGCAGGACCGGCAATCTGGGTTGGCTAGCCTGGCCCATTGAAGGACGGCTACGGATGGAGACTGGGCTGGCGTATGATCCACTGCTGTCCCTGGATCAGGAGCAGCGGCAGTGCTGGGATCTACGACGGCCACGGGACCGCGATCTGGACGTGGAGGACTGGTACCGACGGTAATAGCTGCTCCGCTAATGGCCTCAGTGGGTGGACCCGCGACGGCGAGACACTGGCGATCAACGCCCAGAGCTGGGATGTCTTGACAGAGACTTGGAGCGGGAGTTCGAGTGGGAATGGCGTCGATGATCGTGCTGTGACTGACTGCAGTACCCTCTCCAAGACGAGGATTGACAGTGATGCCCGCCGCGGTCCTGCCGATGTTCGCCCCTTCAGGACAAGCGGTGCCGCGAGTCCCAGCTGGATGGGACCCAGCCAGACAGTCTGGTCGGCGTCAAGGGCGATCCACCTGGACTGTGCCCCGAGTAGTTGCTGGGCAGTGATTGGCGTCGGGAACGTTCCCTCGACCGAGACCGGAGATCCCAGCGGTGGCTTGCCTCTGAAGCGCGGGGCTGACGTGGAAGGCATCCAGAGAGGCCTGTTCCGAAGGGGATGGGCTACTCCACTCAGCTTCAGTCGGAGGCCTGGGGCCTGGTGGGGATCGAGGACTGCCCAACATGGGCCTACCCCAGGGGTGGGCGAACTTTTTGGCCCAAGGGCCACATCGGGGTTGCGCAACTGTATGAGGGCTGGGCAGTGAAGGCTGTGCCTCCTCAAACAGCCTGGCCCCCACCCCGTATCTGCCCCCTCCCACTTCCCGCCCCCTGACTGCCCCCCTCAGAATCCCCAACCCATCCAACCCCCCCCGCTCCTTGTCCCCTGACTGCCCCCTCCTGGGACCCCCGCCCCCTATCCAACCCCCCTGGTCCCTGTACCCTGACTGCCCCAACCCCTATCCACACCCCCAACCCCTGACAGCCCCCCCGGACTCCCACCCCCTATCCAACCGCCCTCTGCTCCTCGTCCCCTGACCACCACCTCCTGAGAACCCCTGCCCCTAACTGCCCCCTGGGATCCCACCCCCTTATCCAACCCCCCTGCTCCCTGTCCCCTGACTGCCCTCCCAACCCCAATCCACACCCCCGCCCCCTGACAGGCCCCCCGGGACTCCCATTCCCAATCCTCCCTGTTCCCCATCCCCTGAGCGCCCCCCCAGAACCTCTGCCCCATCCAACCGCCCCCTCCTCCCTGACTGCCCCCAAGGACCCTCTGCTCCCCGCCCCCTTACTAGCAGCAGGAGCTTGCAGCCGCGACACCCGGCCAGAGCCAGTTGCGCTCCCCACACTGCCCAGCGGGAGCAGCGGGCCAGAGTGTGACCCGCGTGGCGGCGTGGCTGTGGGGGAGGGAGGACAGCGGGGGAGGGGCCGGGAACTAGGCTCCCCGGCCGGGAGCTCAGGGGCAGGGGAGGATGGTCCCGCGGGCCATAGTTTGCCCACATCTGGCCTAGCCTCTGTCCCAGATTTCCCTTGGTGCCGCTGCGAAGAGGGAGTCTTCCTGGCCCTCCTGACGTGCCCCGTGGACGGAGAGCAGTGCCAACTGGTCGATGGTACCGGAGGGTCGCCGCATACTGATGCCCCGGTGCCAGGTACCGGTTCGGAGTGGCGTGCCGGGGTAGGGGTCAGCGCCGACTCCATTAGGATGGCCCGGAGCCTAATGTCCCTTTCTCTTTTGGTCCGAGGCTTAAACGACTTCCAAATCTTGCACCTTTCGCTGATATGGGTTTCTCCCAAGCAGCGCAAACAGTCTGCGTGCGGGTCACTTCTTGGCATAGAACGCCTGCAAGAGCCGCACAACTTAAACCCCGGGGCGCGGGGCATGCCCCGGCCCGGGCTCATTGACTAACTAAATTAACTAAACAGCTAACTAACTACAGGTACTAATGCTGAACCAATGAACAGTTCTGGGAACGAGCTACAGCAAAGCTGGAGCAGAGCAGTTTCGGACGAAGTGGGTATTCACCCACAATCAGTATAGTAGATCCTGTGCCATTTTAATAGTAAATTCAATTAAAATAGAAGTCCCCATATTTTACATTTTCAGATTTTTGTTTTGATGAGCAACTGCACTGCAGAAGTTGTCAGGAGATTAAAAAACAGTTACTCACCTCTCATAACTGTTCTTCGAGATGTGTTGCTCATATCCATTCCAATTAGGTGTGTGCACGCTGTGTGCACAGTCGTTGGAAGGTTTTTCTCCTAGCAGCACCCGTCGGGTCGGCTGTGGAGCCCCCTAGAGTGGCACCTTCATGACGCTCAATATATGATCCTGCCGACCCAGCACCTATTCAGTTCCTTCTTGCCGGTTACTCCGACAGAGGGGAAGGCAGGTGGGTTTGGAATGGATATGAGCAACATATCTCAAAGAACAACAGTTACAAGAGGTGAGTAACCGTTTTTTTCTTCTTCGAGTGATTGCTCATATCGATTCCAATTAGGTGACTCCCAAGCCGTACCTAGGTAGTGGGGTCGGAGTTAAGGAAACTCTGATTGTAGCACTGCTCTGATGAAGCCGCATCATCTCTGGCATGCCGGACAATGACGTAGTGAGAGCTGAAGGTATGTACCAAGGACCAAGTTGCTGCCCTGCAGATTTCTTGGATCAGGACCTGGGCCAAGAACGCTGCTGACAAGGCCTGGGCCCTCGTGGAGTGTGCCATAAAAGGCAGGGCCGGTACTTTGGCCAGCTCATGGCACGTGCGGATGCATGATGTGATCCTGGAGGATATTC